ATTCTCTTCTTGAGTGTAGATGATATTCGAGAGGTCAGTACGTCGCTCCAGGGCAGCATACTCTAGGACATGGATAATATGCTCCTGTGAGACGTTCTTAGTTCTTGTACTAACCGTCGAGGTACGCTCCGTCAGCGCGTCTCAGTACGCTCTCTTGTGGGTGCTTTTGGCATGCGCGAGGCCAAGGCCAGCTCGCCTTGCTGCACCTAATGTTTCATCATAGTAATCTCCGGTAACTGCGCGCTCTTTGCTGTTGTGCGAGCAAACACTCGGGCGGTTACCTTGTGTCGGTTCGTAATTTTATTTTAAGGCCCGAGAATGACACGCCCTGCACACTGAGTGATTGTTTTTGTTGTTGTTCAGTAGGGATTGGTTGTACGTGAACATGTAGTTGGTCTCGATTTTCCCCGCCCCCGTCAGTGGAAGGGTATTTGGTAAGTGCAGGGAGCAATGAAACTTGAATGTATTGCTTAAATTTACATGTAGATCTAGTACAATGTATTCGATTGGAACTTTAAAAAACCCAACATCCCCGTAACTTTTGAAACTACTTCATAGCATTGGGAAACCACAACAAGTCATTTAAACCTTCATTTTAAAGTTTTTAAAAGTCTTATAAATAGGGTATTAATTCAGAGCATTCACTTTTACTGTTTGATAATAAAAACAAGTCAGCGGGTTCGTCTTGTTGGTTCTACAATATCTTCTAACAATTCTTTTGTTTAACCTGATTGTCAGTGTTGTTTGCTTCAAAGTAGGCCTACAACATGACCTTTATTGTGTTAGTGAGTTATTTATACTCAAACTTAACCGAAGGTGGACACTGAAAAGCTCTAACAGTTTGGACTTTTAAAGAAGAAAAGTTGAAATAATAAACGTGACCTGTTCTGTCGCGCAATTTGGTTGGCTTTCCAGTCACCTGTAATTTTTTTAACGAACCCTGAAAAATCTTTACTCGGCATTAATTATAATTTGGTTTTGAAATAGGTAAAAAGCTGACTGTAGAGTGTCACATTTCTTTAGAATTTTTCAGCAGTATTTGATTTTTTTGGGTACGTGGTCTTCTTAAAAAATGATTACCAGGTTTTGAAAAAAATGTCTTTTTTGAAGTGAACTCAAGCATTTTAGTAATTTATTTTTTTTTCTTCATTTTTCCTGACATTTTTTAAAACTAGGGAGAGAGAAAGACGTTGATCAGATAAAGAGATTCCTTACATAAAGTTCCAGTCCACCGTCTCTGTCCTCATCATTAGTATTCGACTAATTGCACACCAACACCGTTAAATATAGCAGCATGGCGGTGTGATGTTTCTAAATGAGAAATGCCAGAAGTGAAAAGAGCATCACGGCGCAATGGGGCGGATGATAGCGGATAACAGCGGCCGAGCGGGGGGTTAAGCCGCTGTTTTCTGTCCTGAGTAGTGAGAAGACAATGTGGGCTTGTGTGCCGGCCGGCCACAGGAGACGGTAGGCAGTGTATAAGTCTATCGATTTCGCTGTGGTGGAGCCAAAAAGTCCCTCATCACGAGGAGAGCCTAATTTTGGCTGAGTGAAGCACTCAATGTGTAAAAATCAATGCGAGTCCTGAAGAGCTCGAAAGGCGAATATATTATATAGGTAGCTATAGACGGATGATGTCAGAGAGGGGATATATAATAACACTGGTTGCGATTTTGTTTTCTGCTTTCCCATATGCTTGTGGGAGCTGTATCAGAATACAAACGTCCCGGTGTGAGGTCGACGCGACTCGCCTTGTTTCTCTTGTTTATGCTGCCAAAGTCAGATTGATGGCTTGGCTCGGCGGAATTGTGTTGTTTCATTATTTCAGCCGTATAAACCCGTTCATGGGGACGCTTGTGTGTTTGCGTGCACGGGACTCATAACACAACACACATACACACACGCACACATGCTCGCACACAAACAAACAAACAACAAGCACATACACCGACATGCACAATAGCCTCTAGATAATATGCGCGCGCACAATCTAAATGACTCACTCACACCCTGTAAAGATACACACACACACACACACACACACACACACACACACACACACACACACACACACACACACACAT